ACCTATTTAAAATGAAACACTATTTTGGAGAGCAAAATGCAAGACTCAAAGCTCTCTCACTCGCAACGATATCTCAGTGACCAAATGTAACTAAAGTCTATCACAACAATGTGAATGAGACCGTAGCTGATCGCCTGTGAGGGCTAAGCTGATTGATATACGATTGGTTGGGCCTTCATGCTTGAACTGACAGAATATACAACACTTATTGCTATACGCATTATATGTCAGAAAGATGATTAGGAACAGTCTTTTCTATCCTACATTGACATACACAACATGAATATTTTATGAATATAGCGTATAATCTTGCAGATGGGATGAAGCCAGATACAGATAATATAATATACGTCACAGAACATGTTCATTCGGTGTGATCTCATGTCAGTGTGCAACATGGCCAAAATAAAAACATGATTATTTCAACACTGATAGCAGGTAATACATTTGGGCGTAAAAGTATTCAAAAGTCAGTTTTTAGGCCGTTGCAATGGGCCAGAATGTGGACAATTAGAGTAAAGGTATGACCTGCCTACTTGCCAAGTGTGAACGAAATCGGCCAAGTCAAAAACATCACAGAAGGATTAAATAGTCCTTCCCGGTGAAAAGTTTGAAAACAAATTTCGCAGTGTTAAAAAGATATTAAAAAACAAATGCTAAATTTGTGTCCACACTCAAGCTGAGTAGAATGAGCTGTGTCTGAGGTTATTAATCATAGAAGTGTAGGAATGAGATACATTTGGCGCAAAGGTAATCATAGTGTGCCAGGTTTTTTCCCGATTAATGACGATATGAGTTGCCTGCTAAGTATGAACAAAATCGGCGAAGCAAAAACAAAGTGGTGAAAAGTTACCAAATTTGACATACCAAATATTTCAAATTTCTCGGTAATGAAAAACGATATAAAAAAACAAACAAATAGTAACCTTGTACCCACACTTTGAGCAGAATGAGTTTTATTCTAGGTGTTTCATACTACATGATCATACACAAGGAGATACATTTCTATGGCAGCGGTGTGCCAAAACGTTTTTTTAAATTTACCTAAAACTAGAGTGAATGTGTGACCTTCCAGCCAAGTTAGAGCGAAATCGGCCAAGCCAAACAATCACTGAAAAATTAAAACGTGAAGACACTGGAATTCACACACACACAACAGTGATTTTAAGGGCAATCCAAGTGTAACGGATCACTAACAAAAGTGATTTTAAGGTTAAACCTAAGGGAGCGGATTCCTAAGAAAAGTAATTTTGACTGTTACCATGGAAACGGCGGACCAGTATTTTTTTCAGATTTTACCAACTTACTACAGTGAAGGTCTGACCTGCCTGCCAAGTTTGAGCAAAATCGACACAGCCAAAAAAAATAATAGAGAATTAACACGTGAAGACATAAAACAAAATTACATACTAACTGAGATGAAAGTGATTTGAGTGTATAGCCAGGTGCTTGCTCGATAACGTGCAGTAACATTTTTCATGTACAGAACTAAATAAAATTATGATGTTAGAATATTCCAGTATTTTATTTTTAATTAATATGTCATTGTTTATATCAGGGTAGTCTAAGCGAAATAAAGATAATGCTCTAATGACCTATAAACGCGTGAACACCCAGACATGCAAATTGCAACTAACTAAAGAAATCTCACAGGAATGGGTCAAAGGTGAATTTAGCGCCAATATATACTTTGTTCTTCATTGTTTAGTGCTCGGTACTATGTGTAAATGTATTCGTGCGTGATATCATGTCTAACGCAAATATATTGCGTGAATACATTGCTGTGAACACGCTGAAAGGTCCGGGGAAAACAACTTGAATAACAGGAATTTGTTCGCCATTCGGCTCACAATTATTGGTGATTGGAACCATATTACATATTGCGATGAGTACATGGAGGGAGG